AAATAACTTTTTTTTTTTTTTTTACCAAGGATGCATTAAATTGATTCCAAAATATTCAATCTTACAGACCCCAAAAGTTTGAACAGTAGCGTACAATATCAGGTTTTTCCAGTAATGTATGAGATTATTTTACAGGATATAGTTCACTAGTCACATGGATCACTTCTTGTCATTTTTAAAACAATACCAGGGTGAAGGTGAGCAAATGACAAAATGTTTTGAGTAACTATTCCTTTACCTGTAGCCATTTAATGATCTAATCAAATACCATCTCTTCAAAAATAAATCATAGAGTGTTAATACAAATGTACAACATTGATCTTATTGGGCAGGCGATATTAAAAGAAACAAGTCTTTTTCTCAGCATCATACTGTGCTGTAATACAGGCATCTGGCAAGTTCTGCCTGATTAATCCATAATTTATTAATCTAGTCATAATCCATCACTAAATCTAATCAAATGAGCTTCACCAGCAGTGATATGTGGAATGTGCTGCAGTCAGTCAGAGGTTAGAGATGTTTACACTGTTAAATCTGAGGAGAACAGTTAAGAGGTGTTTGCATTTGAGTGTGTGTGTGTGTGTGTGCGTGCATGTTTATGTGGTTTATGCGGACACAAATTTGTATAATGACATGGGTATTACAATGTAAAGGTGATTTATGAGAACACCTTCGGTGTTCCCATGACTCAAAAGGTGTAAAAATAATTCAGAATGAGTTTTTTTGAAAATCTAAAAACGCAAAATTTTTCTGTATGGGGTAGGTTAGGTGTGGAGTTGTGTCGGGTGATAGAAAATATGGTTTGTACAGTATAAAAATCAATATGCCTATGGAGAGTCCCCGTAAACCATAAAAACCAACGTGTGTGTGTGTGTCTGTGTGTGTGTGTGTGAGAGAGAGAGAAAAGTCTTCACATGAAAGGTCTTCAGAACACATAGGAACTCTATAGGAAACCTGGTATAACAAAGAAAAAGTTCTTCACAATGAACGTTATGAACATCGAGAGGAGTCCTGAGGCATCTTAACATGCATCCTGTAGAATAACATCAGCTCTAATCAAAGTTCCCTTTATCAGTTGCATGTAAAACCGCACTGTCTGCAACTTCACCTATTTTGTTGGACCTTACACCTTAAAAATGTCCACCCAAAAATGAAAATTCCTTTCATGTCATTCTCAACCTTTATGACTGCAGAATGTCCAAGCTGATCTTAGCCACACAATGAAAGTAAATCAATGTTGTCAAGTTTCCTAAGAATTTTTAGTCAATAATGAATTAATTATTACACTTATTGCATGGTTTCAGAAGACTTTTATGGTGCTAACAGAACTTAAATGTCGTGGTCACCAACCGCTTTCATTTTATATAAAAAAGAAGCTTGTACATTCTGCTCAATATCTCTTTTTGTTTTCAAAAGAAGAAAAATAAATGTTTGCTAATAGGCTTAATGTTTGGTCAAAGCATTGCCAGCATGCAGTCCACACTCTTGCATCAATGTGACAGTAGCAAACCTCAGTAGTACAGTTGCAAAGTCGTACCTCTTACTGGTGGGTGTGATTCTGCCCCCTTTGCGGTCGAGGCTGGATGGTGGCTCAGGTGAATATGGGCCAGGTGACAGAGAGGCTGGGCTGGAGATGGTGTACTCTCTGTAGTTCTGGTTCTCATCTCGACTCACCTGTACAGCCTCCTGCACAACCAGAGGAAAAAAACATCAATAACAGGTGCTCGAGTTTGAATTGATCAGTTCTAATTAAACAACTCTATGGATCGAATGGTCTTTTCACTAGCCTCACAACAAAAATTGTTTTTTTTTTATTGACAGTGGTGGCCAAAATCATTAGAACATTAGTATTTTCACCAGCTAAAAGTGGTTTTCAGTTATTTCTATCTTTTGCTGTAGTGTGTCAGTAGGAAATATCAGTTTACATTTCCAAACATTCATTTTGCCATTAATTGTAATAATCCAGTGAGATTTTTGTTTGCACAAGGAGTCTCAACAGCCAGTGCTCCACACAGAGATCTGATCTCACCTTCATCCATTCTGTCTGGAGTGACATGAAGAAACAGAACAAACTGAGACAGACTAAATTCAGAAGAACTGTGGCAACGTCTCCAAGATGCTTCAAGAAACCTACCTGCAAAGCTACAGTACTGTTTTAGGCACTTCTTTAAAAATTATGTAAAATGAGGATGCTGTCAAAAATAATGTCATAAATAGATTTTCTTTGTCAATTAACTTCTATTAACTAAATTAAATCAACATTTGGTGTGACCATCCTTTGCGTTTAAAGCAGCTTTTGCCCTAGGTTCACTTTCGCATAGTTTTTCAGGCTTAACGTAACGTAACGTAACATAATATAACAACGTAAAATAAAATAAAATATTCTCCTGCCACACACAATCTCTCATTAGATGTAAATCTTTTCTTTTTCCAACTTAAAGATTCCAACTTAATCACAAGTTCTCACATGGTTGTTTGGAAGGACTACCGAGACCTGTGGGGCTCACAATCCTTTCGATCATAGTATCTGTTACAACAGAGACCCGTCAGCAGTCCCTTCAGCATTTAAAAAGGCAGGAACTCTGTCTGATTTATAACACTCCCAAGTTCCTTTCACATGTCATGGATACAGACATGCAGAATTATTGTTGTACAGAAAATGAAAAAGTGGGAAATGCAGACTCAAATGTCTTTTGAGCTCAACCTGACAAACTATAAATCATTGATAAGCAGATAGTGGTTCATCTTCTCTTAATGGTTACCAGGCTTGCTCTACTGCAAATCTGAGAAGAGAACTGAACACTACGGCTTGGGCCAGTGGTTCAGTAGAGCAGCACACGCACCACAGGCTTGCAACAGCGATAGACTGCGGTTTTGTTGCTTCTTCCAGCAACATTTCGTAAACGAGGATATGCTGCTACTTTAATACTGTAATATCTGCAAAACTTTTAATGCATTTGAAAGAAGCTCGCTAAGGCTGCATTTATTTGATCAAAAATACATTAAAACAGAAATATCATGATATGTTATTACAATTTAAAATAACTGTTTTTGTATTTTTTTAAATATTTTCTAATGTAATTTATTCCTGTGATGTTAAAACTGAATTTTTAGCATCATTACTCCAGTCTTCAGTGTCACATGATCCTTCAGAAATCATTCTAATATGCTGATTTGCTGCTCAAGACACATTTACTATTATCAATGTTACATATTAGGTATCAAGTATTGTTTTCTGAAACATTTATTAAAATTATGCTAGTATTTGCTTAAAACAAGATAAAATGCAGGGTAAGAAAAATAATCTTAATTTAAAGGGAGGACAAGATTATTTTTCTTTCCCCATTGTCAGATATTTCTCATTTTAAGAAAAAAATAAAAATAAAAATCAGAAAACAAGACTTAATATCTCAAGTAATTTTGCTTCTCAAATAAATGTATCTTAAATTTAAGAATGTTTAGATATTTGTAATGGAAAACGACAAACACACGAGAGAGACAGAGAGACAGACAGACAGAAATAGTCAGATTATAAACAGACAGACAGACAGACAGAAATAGTCAGATTATAAACAGACAGACAGACAGACAGAAATAGTCAGATTACAGACAGACAAACAGAAATAGTCAGATTACAGACGGACGGACGAATGGATGGATAGATAGATAGGAGATAGAGAAATAGAAATAGAGAGATCTCAAAAATTCTCAAAAAATTTTCGCATGAACAGACAAAATTCTCTTTAATATTTGCTTTACTGACCTGGAAGCGGCCGACCAGTTGCTCTGTGATTCCATTGGTCTGACCAGGAGTGGGAGGAGCAGGTCTGTGTGGAAAAAGTCAAACATTAGCACAAGACATTTTATTTTATTTTAGTATACATATCATCATATTCTTCTTCCTGTAACTTTAGTGCACTGTTAATCTGGGTCACTTTCTTTAAGCATGGCTTTATAAATTAGACAAATCTGGCATAAACCAGGAGACGCAAGCCTGTTTTATGAGTCAGATACAGTATGATTCTTTGATAAAGTAGCATGGATAAACTTAAAACTTCCTTCAAAATAATTTCTCATATTATCCTGAAACTTTTCAGCTACCAAGTAAATCTGACAGACTGACACAAGCAGAAAGATCTGGACTGGAATCCCCTCAATACTGCCATTTATTTCCTCCGCTGGAACTGCGGATTGCGATACATTTAACAAAATGCAGAAGGGCTGACCGAGCATTAATGTAAATTGATGAAATCTGACAGAGAAAAGACAACACAGTCTTGTTTAAATACATTAGCAGAGCCCCTGACCAGGAAGCAGCACATGTCTGAAAACGTTTATTTATCTTCGAATTAATCCCTGGCATATGCTTACAGAAAGCTCTTTATAGCTTCATGAGGAAGGAATGCCACACAAGGGCCTGATTCAGAGCTGGTGCTCTACGTCTTCACGATACCTCAAGTCAAACCCAGGAAGGCTTTCCTTTATTCCTCAGGAAGCCAAGATTTCTTTGGGAAACTATGATTATTTTATTAATTGAATATTCTTTTAAATAAACAAACACCCACTGTGCTTATAGTCTTTCATTTGTATAGAAAAAGAGAAAGCTCACCAATTAAGGAAATAGGTTCACTCTGGCCATAAATGTAATCTGGTTTTTGTTGAACGATTTCCGCTTGAAACTAAATTCAGTGTAGATGTTTGAAACACACACTTCATTAAGAGCACTTTAAACAATCAGAGAGTTAATGAAGGCCTGAGAACTGGATGAGTCTTTCCAAATAAGCTCTTTTTCACTGGCGTTAATGAGATGTTTTACTGCGAGGCTTAAGCAGAGCATCCTCCTAACACTGCCAGTAAATACAAGCCATGAACAGCCCAGGAGGACACATTCATTTTACACTCCCTCTACCTTTTGCTGCTTCTGCTCGCAATTGTTTTATCTCTCTAACTTTGTTTCACTCCATTTCATCCTAATGTCATACTCCCTTTGATTTATTATTTCTTCCTATATAGTACATTCAGTTTTCCCCCTTCATCTTTCTTTCTGTCTCTGGCTCAAAGCTGAGGAGGTCTGGAGATGAGCTTTGGATGAGTCTAAATGCAGAAAGAGTATTTTGATGCTTGCAGTGATGGTATTTAAAATGGCAAATGAAGAAATGCTACTATTGGAGATGGATAGAGTCAGCATAAAGCAGTTACAAATCTCGGTAACACTTTATTTTAAGGTGTCCTTGTTACACATGTTACGTGTACTATTACAATTACAATTAATTATGCATAATTACATGCAAGTAACCTTAAGCCAAACCCTAATCCTAACCATATACTGTAGTAAGTAAATGTAGTTAGTTAATATTACTCAGTAATTAAATGTATAATTACACTGTAACAAGGAAACCGTAAGTGTAACCCAAATGTCTCTGCCAAATGAATTGGTGATTATATAATATATATTGTATTATAATATATTCACAAATGAAAACACAAACTCGAGAGACAAATTCCACAGAACAAGCACAACCTGAGGTAAAGCTTATCCATGTTATCCTTTGACTTGTGGCTCCCTATTTTTCCCATTAGAAGACAGTGGTTGGATGGGCAGAGACAGGCAATTAAGGTGAGAACAGGTTGTCTGTACATGGAGCTCTAGCAGAATGGGCATAAATTAGCAAATTAGCAGTTGTTCAATGGCTTTTAAACACTTGATGCTTTTTGCACAAGTACTGACATGATTTAGGGTCCAGAATCCACCCAGTATTGTTTGGGCTCAACTATGGCATTATATATATAGTACAACATGTGTTGTGAACAACACACACACACACACACACACACACACACACACACACACACACACACACACACACACTATTGTGCAAAAGTCTTAGGCCAATAGTATTTTTTTTTCACCAACAAAAAATGGTTTTAAGTACGTTTTTTCTATCTTTTGCTGTAGTATGTCAGTAGGAAATATCAGTTTACATTTTCAAACATTCATTTTGCTATTAATTGTAATAATCCAGTGAGATTTGTGTCTGACAACAGCCAGTGCTCCACACAGATCTGAAATGACATGAAGAAACTGAACCAACGGAGACAGACTAAATCCAGAAGAACTGTGGCAACGTCTCCAAGATGCTTCAAGAAACCTAGCTGCAAAGCTTCCTCAAAATGTGCACCTAGGGCAAAAGCTGCTTTAAGCGCAAAGGATGGTCACATCAAATGTTGATTTGATTTAGTTAATAGAAGTTAAATGATGAATAAAATCTATTTATGACATTATTTTTGAAAGCATCCTCACTTTACATCATTTTTACACAAGTGCCTAAAACTTTTAACAGTACTGTAGCTTTGCAGGTGGGTTTCTTGAAGCATCTTGGAGACGTTGCCAGAGTTCTTCTCATTCTCTTCTCATCTCAGTTGGTTCTGTTTCTTCATGTCATTCCAGACAGACTGGATGAAGGTGAGATCAGATCTCTAACTAATTAAATAGGGTTGAATGTTAGGTACGTTAACAATTTTTTTTTATTGTTTAAATGATTCAAAGCTGAAAGAGTGAGTAATTTCTATACCATTCACGTCACTAGCTAAAAAGGTGATTGTTTCAGACAGTTTTCTAGACAACCCCACATTTCTCTGGCAGGCAAGTCCTGAGCCAATATTTGAGTCAGTGACTGCAAATCAAGTATTGGAGGTTAATTGCGTATAAAAATAGACACAATTAATTACCTTTGAGGCTACTGACAGCCATCTGCTGTGAACTCAATCTAAAATGTTTTATGACACAAACTGGTTAAAATTTCTGTTTTTATTTTGAGATAATCCAAGAACTAATAATCAATTCAGCAATTCAATACTTTACAAATGAAAGGTACTTCATCTAATTTGATTATTTTCTTTATTTGGATCTTGATGGATGTAAACCGAAAGACTAGATTGCCTATAACAAAAAACACCTGCATTACATTGTGTAACACTGTAAAGTTAAAAACAAGAGATTCAAAGCAGTGATACATTATAAACATGATTGAAGTTGTTGTACTGGGCTTATACGTGCAAATGTGTGACAGCATGACTGAACATCAAACTGCTTCCAAAAACAGCTTCAGTTAATATCAACGTGGTCCATCTACACTAGTATCCATGGTTTCAGAATTTTTTTAATCGCATTACGGACATAATGTGTTAAAAATAGCATAGCAGACTTTCTACTTGTTGATGCACATCTACACTACAGATACATATAGTGATACCAGCCTTATCGTTCTGTCAAAAAATTCTGTTGAGCTACCAGATAAGATCAAACCAGAAAATAAAAATCCTGTTCCAAACTGCTTTCACTCTGGTCGATACTCAATATACCTCACTCCAAAAACTTGAGGAAATGCTGTTTAAAAAGTGAGACCCTTCTAAACTGACGTCATTGTGCTGTGTGCCCCATTTAGTCCTCAATGAGGTCATCTGCAAACACCAATTGTGGATACATCAGCCTCAGCTGAAGGTTTAGTGTGATATTGCAGAGGAGGACTACAGTAGTTTGTCTTCTAATGCTCCTCTGAGAAGATCTTCACTTTTGAAGGCAAATGCATGAATTCCCAGCAAAACTCCCTGCAACTTCTTCCTTATTACAACATGATTTCCAGAGTGACTTCTCGTCTTGTGACAGTACACTTTCATTCTTTGGAAGATGTTGCATCAGAGCGTCTCAATGCACCACATGTACTGCGGCATTCCAGCCATATTTTCAACTCACTAGAGATTAAATTACAAAGTCTATATGAGAACGTCACAGAAAAATGTAGAAATAAAATGAGAAAAGGACAGGAAAAACCATAAAACCACATGAGACGCACATCAAAGGCTCTTCACAAGCTGGAAAGTTCTCACAGGAGCCATTAATGCTCGACGCAAAGCAAAGCAAAGCCAAGAGTTACTGGTGGCAATAGAGACAATCTTAAAGACTTCATGATCAGCGTTGGGGAGTAACTAATCAATATTAGCAACGATACTAACTACATTTTTCAAACAGTGTACAGTAGCATTTGCAATAAAAAGGTTTTCCAGCAATAACGTTGTAGAATAACTAAACTCTACATAGCTGTTTTCAATATCATACTGATTTGCACATGCAATTTTACTGCCGAGAAAACTGATAAATCAAACACTCCACGGTCTTTCTCTCAGATGTAGCACTGGAAAATCTGACTCACTCTAGCGAACTGGTTCACAAATTCAAAACAACTCAGATTCAAGTATGACATTTTACATTTTAATGACTGTCTTTGACTCAGTTATATAAATTGGGGATTATTCTATTTGTTTTAATTGTATTTAGTGTAAATATATTAGTTCGAGCAGAAGTAGTTGATTCTTCTATGGTTTAAGCCCAAAGTAAAAAAAGAAAAATATTACTTTGTAATATGCACTGTACAGTATGATTTTCTAACTGTGCACACTCTGAATGCTCATGCATTTGATTACAGGCACCTTGATTTATTTTACACTATGTAGTTTGCCTTAGCCAGAAACAATATCAAACTACTTGATACAACAACAGACGGTCATGTTGACAAGTGCCTGTATTCGGAGGTTAAGAGATACACACAACTCTCGTTTAAATGTGCACAGACATTTTATCACTCCGAAATTCTATAGAGAAATAGCACACACACTAGGGATGCTCCGATCCGATATTCATATCGAGTATCGGCTCCGATATTGCCATTTTTTTGTCGGATCGGGTATCGGTCAGAGAGGGCCGATCTATATCCGAGATTGTGCGTATTATTCTGTGTTACTTCTGAAGCCATACGATAGCTTAAAGGGT